GGAAGATTCCAAATAAATTGAGCTCTCTAAACGTCTGAGTTACAACAAAAGGATGTTGAAGGATGTAACACAAAGTTGCAGCACAAAGTGTTTGTTTACACGATTGCAAGCCACTGCCACCCCCTTTTTACAAGCCAAGCTGGGCTCCTCCTTATATCCCAATACCCAAAGTTCACGTAAAGAGAGTCCTCTTATAGAATTACAGAGTTGGAAGGGACCTTGGAGGTCACCTAGTCCAACTCCCTGCTCAAGCAGGAGACTCTATTCCAAATATTAGCCTCTACCTAGGATCGAACTCACAGCCTCCTGATTGTGAGGTGAGAGCTCCACCTCTAGGCCACTGGAACTGGACTTACAACAGTTAGTGTAGTGACTGTTCAAAGTTACAACGGCATTGAAAAATGGGACTTATAACCGTTTTTCACACTTACGACCATTGCAGCATTCCCCACAATCACATGATCGGCAACAGGTTCATACTTATGACTGTTGCTGTGTCCCAAGGTCACGTGATCCCCTTTTGCAACCTTCTGACAAGCAAAATCAATAGGGAAAACCAGATTCACTTAACAATCAGATTATTGACGTATCAACTTAACAACTCTGGCAAGCAAAGTCACAAAATGGAGGCAAAACTCCCTTAACAAAAGGTTCAACTCAACAACAAGAAATTTTTGGGCTCCATTGTGGTCATAAGTCGAGGACTACCTGAACAAAAAGAGTATAAAAACAGTTTGCCTCCTTTCTTCTGAGTTCAGCCTACAACCCAGGGCTTTCCAGGTGGTGTCCCATCCATGAGCTGACAGGTCTGATTCTCCAGTCCCAGGCGGTGCCCTCTTCCAAACCAAACACGTGCCAGGACTCCCTAATCCTAATTCTCCCCTAATTTGCCCTTCCCACTTAATTAGCCCCTGGAGAGAATCTGGTTCTAAAAAATACATTTGCAAAGTCAGTTAATTCGGATTAAGGCTCCTTAGCTAAGGGGTAAAACAAAAAACAAAAAAAACGTCACCCCAACCAATCCTGGATCAACCCTATAAAACGACCATCTTTGAATCCCTTGCTAGAAACGAGGCGCAAATTCCCTAATTGCGTTTCCTTAAACCCAAACCGGAGTCACTTCGGATTAAGCGCTACCTTTCCCCTCTGCGCACGCCGGCACGGAAGGGAAGAAGCCACAGATTCAGGCCCTCGAAAGACTTACTCTCCATCTCCGTCTCCGGCAAAAAAAAAAAAAAAAAGATCTTAAAACGCGAAAAAAATACCGCAATCAGCCCCGGCTGAAGAACCTCCCTCGCCTGTCCGCTTCACGAAATAAAATGAAAAGCGCATGCGGAGCCACCGCTTTCCAATAGGCTTAGAGGGAAGAGAGGCGGAGGCAAGAAAACCGCCAATAAGAACAAAGTGCGGAGCGAGCGAATTACAGTACGTAGAGGTAGAAAGTGGGGACTTGCATGCCTGTTGAGGGATTCTGGGAGTTGAAGTCCGCAAGTCATAAAAGGGCCATTCTTTCATACCTTGTGGGCTAAATATATAAACGCGCATGCGTAAATGATGTCTCGCTAATTCCCTCGCTCCGCGCTTTATTCTTACTGGCGGTTTTCTTGCCTCCGCCCTTCTTCCTCTAAGCCTATCGGAGAGCGGCGGCCACGCATGCGCCTTTCATTTTACTTCGTGAAGCGGACGGGAGAGGGAGGCTCTTCAGGATGAGTGAGGCTTTTTCGCGTTTTAGGATAACATTGTTTGCCGGAGACGGAGAGTTAAGTCTTTCGAAAGCCTGAATTCGGGACCTCTCCCTCTCAGTGCCAGTGTGCTGGCTCAGGAACTCTGGGAGTTGAAGTCCACAAGTCATGAAGGGCCATTGTTCCTCACCTCTGCTTTACCCTAGAAGCCCTACGGGAGTATTTCTCAACATTTGGCTGGCTGGGGAATTCTGGGAATTGAATTCCAGGCGTCTTAAAAGCGGGCACGATTTTAAGCAGCCCTGGTTTTTCTCTGCAGTGATGGGCATTGCCTTTTAATCTATAGAAAAGCCTTGTGTGTGTGTGGGGGGGGGGGGGTCTACGTGCAACTCCCTCCCATTTCTACATAGGAATCTGGGGAAAGTTTGCATGTTTAAAATGACTCAGTAGTTCTTTTTGGCTTGCATGGAAAAATAGAAAGAAATGTAACAAAAGAAAAGAAAAAAGAGGAGCTTTGCTTGAAATAATTGTGATGCTAGTAAACAACGTATTGATGTTGGCTAGGGAATTCTGGGAGTCAAAGTCCACAGGTCTTAAAAGTTGCCATGGCTGAGAAATACTATCCTAAACTTTCTCTTCTTATCATCATCATCATCATCATCATCATCATCATCATCATCATCATCATTTTCTAACAACCCCATAATCCCTTGCGGATTTGTCTGCTAAGACCGACAGAAAGACTGCAGGAATTATGAAATCAAGCCCTTCTTCCCAGTCCTTTGCATCCCTCCCCTGAATGCGCCACTCACTAAAAGCTCAGATATGCATCAGCAACAGAGAATTGCAGTTGTTTTGTAGAGGGACAAATACTGCCATGTTATTACTGAATGTGTGTTTTCCCAGAATGTGTGTTTTCCCAGGAAGGAAAAGTTTAGGAGTGGTGCTGTGGTCTAGAGGTGGAGCATTTGCCTCACAATCAGGAGGCTGTGAGTTCAATCCTAGGTAGAGGCCAGATATTTCTCTCTCTGGGCACAATGAGAATATAGCTGCTGAACAAAACTCCTCATTGGCAACAGGAAAGGGATCCGGCCAGTAAACACTCAGCTAGCTCCATTCAGCTGCCCATTTGTCTTCTTCAGAAGAGAATAGAATTCTTTATTGGCCAAAGATGATTGGACACACAAGGAATTTGTCTTGGTGCAAATGCTCTCAGTGTACATAAAAAAAAAGATACATTTGTCAAGAGTCAAGAATCATCAGGTACAACACTTAATAATAGTCATAGGGTACAATAAGCAATTAAATCATACTAGGAATCAGTCAGTATAAATCGTAAGGATACAAGCAACAAAGTTACAGTCATACAGTCACAAGTGGGATGGGGTGGGCAATAAGGAGTGATGAGAAGATTAATAGTAATAGTAATGCAGACTTTGTAAATAGTTGAACAGTGTTGGATGGCGTTGGGGAAAACACTGTCCTTGTGTCTAGTTGTTCTGGTGTGCAGTGCTCTATAGCGTTGTTTTGAGGGAAGGAGTTGAAACAGTTTATGTCCAGGATGTGAGGAGGTCTGTAGATATTTTCACAGCCCTTTTTTGGACTCATGCAGTATACAGGTCCTCCATGGAAGGCAGGTTGGTAGCAATTGTTTTTTCTGCAGTCCTAATTACTCTCTGAAGTCTGTGTCTGTCCTGTTGGGTTGCAGAACCAAACCAGACAGTTACAGAGGTGTAGATGACAGACTCCTGGAAAAGGGTACATTTTGTTTGATTGCTTCTAAATCCAGAATGAAGTATTGGTTAATGTCCTCCAAAGTAACCCATGGAAAAGACCAGGTTTTATTGTCATATGAGAGGTCAATCCATCCGTCTCCCCCTTTAAAATCTCTTTCAGAATTCTGTCCCACGTTTTGCTACTCACTACCACCCCAAAAATCTGCTGCAATCGATTTATTCCTTTGCCTTTTAATTTGATCTAACCCCTTGAATGCCTGCCTCCGTTAAGAACAGCCGCATTTTTCATGAATGGAAAATCAAGATAAGTGAGATTGGTCTTTGGAGTCATATGAGTGCTCCTTCATTGGATTTATGTCATAATTTGTGAAGCATTTAAGGCATTAGCAGTCAAATCAGTATTGGCAATACCAGGCTGTAAATCCAATGATCCAGGCTAAATTGGTGCCTGGGGAAAGCCAATCTCTTCCAGCAATTTCACATCTTCATTCTTTTCCAGATGAGCTAGAATTTATCATGGGATGAAGGATGCTTAAATGTCGTCTTCTCTTTCCCTGGGGATTATTCCATGCGAGAGATGAAGCACGGTCAGAAAATAAATGCAAGGTCTTTATTGTCACTCACACAAGCATCACATATTGGATAGCGGTAGGCAAACCCATCGCTTGTATCTGCCAAGAAAATCTCAATTTGAAAATTCTTGCTTTCTTGACGGACACAATAGTGAAAAAAATACTGTAGGCCACGTCTTCATCGTTGCTGGCTTCATCCTTTAACTTCTCCTCTAGAAGTGGCCACCATCCCTTGAATGGTCAAAAGAGGAAGCACTAAAAAGAGTTAGCTGGTGCTCCAGTTGAGTTTTTCTTAAGGGTTTTTGCTTTTTTTGAGGAGAAAGGAATAAGAAAATAAGAGTTGGAAGGGACCTTGGAGGTCTTCTAGTCCAACCCTCTTCTCAAGCAGGAAACCCTATACCATTTGAGAAAAACAGTTGTCCGATCTCTTCTTAAAAACCTCCATTGTTGGTAGCAATGGTTTTTTCTGCCGTCCTAATTACTCTCTGGAGTCTATGTCTGTCCTGTTGGGTTGCAGAACCAAACCAGACAGTGATAGAGGTGCAGATGACAGACTCAATCATTCCTCTGTAGAACTGGATCAGCAGCTCCTTGGGCAGTTTGAGCTTTCTGAGTTGGCGCAGAAAGAACATTCTTTGTTGTGCTTTTTTTGTGATGTTTTTGATGTTAGGTGTCCACTTTAGGGAATATTCTCCCCATGGCTGGCCCCATTCTCCTAGCCTTCCGAAAAGGAGTTAAAACATGGATCTCATGTGGGGAGCCTAAGAGGAGCATTCAACCGTGGGAGCACCCTCCCTTCCCCTTTTAATTAATTTTTGCAGTGTTTCATCGTCATTGTCACTTTCTAATTTTTTTTATATTTATGTATTTTTTAATCCTTTTACACTGCCCACAGTCCCTGCCTGAGGGAGATGCAAAATAAAATAATGTAAAATAAAATAATGTAAAATAAAATGAATAAAAATAAAATTAAAAAAATTCATGAACTCATGCAGAGGGCTCATGTTTAAAGGGGGAGACAAAATCCAATATTCTATCTCTAGTGGATTAAATACGGTAATAAAATCAAGATTCCATTCATAACAAGATGGAAAGCAAGAAAAGCGATCTGTTACGAATACTGTATACAAAGCCTTCATGGAAAAAAGAAAATGGACTTTGTGGAGTGGTTCTAAACTTGATTTTTAATTCAGGGCTGAATATCAGTATTTATGGCTACATACTTTGAATTTGTCACAGCAATGCAGGCGAATGTGTCTACAAAAGCCACAAACGTTTTATTCCATACAACATAAAGTCCACAAAAGGCAGGATTTTGCCATTTTAAGGATGTCACTTGTCCACAGTCTTGCCTTCAGAATTGAAAATCGGGCTGAAATGGTGTTATATAGGCATTTTGCCTCTTTTTCTGAAAATGGAACACTGTCCATATTTCTGTTTCTCATTTTTCATTTGTCTTTAAGCAGTTCATGGGTTTTAATTTGTAACCGTTGTGCTTTTGCACTAGAGGGCAGAGTGTGATAAGTTTTGGAAATTGAACAAATAATTGGACACCGCCCAAACAGAAATGCATTGGTTATAGGTTACTTAAACTTCTGCAAAAATCCAGGAACCAAGGATGGATATGAGAAAAGAAGATACATTTTAAAACACATTGAAGACCGAAGCTGATGTGGCCTGATTGATAACAATTTGCTTAAAAAAATCAGAACTTAAGTATTGTGTATTTCATAATTCAGGATTTTTGGACCACAGACCAGAAACAATGGTCTTAGATTGTTTAGGAATTTCAATTGGATTGAGATTGGCTTATTCTTTTATTATATGTCTCTTCAAAAGATGATGAAGTGTTCGGGAAGTGAAGAGGAGCGAAGGGAAGGGAAGGAGATAAATGGATAAAAAGGGAAGGGAAGGAGGTAAAGGAGCAAAATAAGGGAAAATAGAGAAATAATGAAGAAGGGAAGAGAAAAAAATATCAAAGATGATAATAGGAACTCAACTGTACAAATTTCAAGTTTATTGAGTTTCAGTAAAGAACCTCAACTATACAAATCATGTCTGATTGCAGTTACTAAGAATCTCCTTTGGACATCACCATAATATATGCTGAAAGAGCCACGACCACAAACCAGACCTAAAAGAAGCATAAAAATAGTGTTAAAATATGTCCAAGAAAGCCCTCCTATTTAGATATTCCTTCCATCAAAGTGTACCAGAGTTTATTAAGCTACCTTACTGTATCTTGAACACAGAATGAGACAGATTCCCACCTTCTTTTAATAAATCCTTTGTAACGGTAATCCTCTAATCTGGTAACGATCCTAAAAGCTGTGTAACTGTAAACTACTACAGACTTATCTGTCATGGA